AGTTTTAAAATTTTTTGACTTGACTCGACTCGACTCAAATTTTTTGAGTTGAGTCGAGTTATCTTTAAAACTCGATTCGACTTGACTCATTAGGAGCTTTACTCTTGATTGGAGAGCCTGTATCTTTTCCAATTTTATAGTAACCTCACTCTTAACACTAATAAGAGAAATATCTTTCTAAGATATCTGGTTTTTGAGTTCTCTTACCTCATCTTCAAGCTGGCATACACGCTCTGAAAAGCTTTCATTATTTTTTATCAAAAGATTGCATTTAGTACCAAGTTGATTACCTGAGCTTAAAGCAATATCTAGATCATACTTCATACAAGTAAGTTAATTCTCAAGTTTAGTTCGACTAGACGGATATCGATTAGATAGTGACTCTCCAAGTTTATTACCAGATACCAGAGCTACCCTACCATTTATCTCATTCAGCGTATGCACCTTTGCCATATGAATTTATTTTTCTGAAGGCAAAATATTTTATGATTTTTTTCTTCGAATGTGAAGAAAGGGATTCAGAATCAAACCAATATCAAACCAATAAAAAACTAGTTTAATACAAATATGATATTTGAAATGTATACATCTTAAATCTATTTTTTATTTGGATCAAGCTTATAATGAGCTACATGATAAAGGAATCAAATTTCATATTTATTTCAAACTAATACCAAACCAATACCAGACTAATACCAGATCAATATCAAATAAATTGCGAATATATTTTCTACAAGTTTTTTATTAGTATTATACAGATTTATTACTAGCAAACTATGAGCAAAAAACAAACAACTCATACTCATAAATTTCTTAGACCAGATGCCTGACGCTTGTCATCTGAAGTTATCAAAGAAATTAGAAATACTCAGAATAATATTCCAGATGCTCGACGTATTATATGTAAAAAACATCATATAGATCTATAATATATCAAAAAATCATTGATAATCAAAGGCCTCCTAAATCGACCAAGAAATGGTGTAGAATATTAGAATCTGTTAATATTTCTGATCAGATTTCAGAAAATAAACAGGAATTTTCACAGTCTAAAGGCGTGAAGCATGATACTTCTTCTTTTACTAACATAGAAGATGATGAGATCATTCATATGGATCATCCTGCATATGATGAGAATAGCGCAAATTCTCATATAAATTCTAATAGTCTGATTATACCAACTAGCAAAAAAAAGGATAAGGTTGGTCAGAAAAAAAAGGTTAGTATAAAATCAAAAGGTGAATCTTCTCCTTCAGTAGCTTTAGTAGAAAAAAATGAAAATATAAGTAGTCAATGTTTGCTAAAACAATCTGATTTATCTAGACGGGAAGCTAAACTTAATAAATTAATAAGTATTACTGGAGACATTGTTACTTATCTGATCTTTTCTCTGTAAGTTAAGAGTACCTTTCCACAAGAATTTTACCTGCATTTAACGCCATGTCAAGTCATCTCTCAGTTTTCAAGAGGTACTTTTCAAGCTCTTCGCACTTTTTTTAAGCCCTTCTCACTAGTTAGATCAGAAGAGTTAGCGGATACCTGAGGTAATGATTCATGCTCCTCTTTTGGTGGATCCTTGACTACTGAAGCCTTGCTAAAGGTTGGGATAATATATCTTTTCATGTAACTTTATGCGAAACTGTTTTTATTTAGCTCGAGAACACCTTGAATCTTTCGAATATTTGATATACCAAAAAATAGCATTGCTTTTGTTTCACCATTATCAATACGAACAAAATTTCTAATAACTGTGACTGTCTTATCTTCTTTATCTTTCAAGGTAACTGGCACGTCTATATACCATCCTAGTGAATCAGTGATATACTTGGAATTGCCCTTTATGGCAAAATTAGATGGTTTATCAGCCTTCCATCCAAGCATCTTGATTGCTGGGTCATTTATACCACCAAATTCACTGCCGGAATCTAAAAAAGATTCAGAAATAGTTAAATCATTTATATTAGCATTCAGATATTGTAAAGATGACAACCACTCATTTGATTCTTTCGTTTTTTTTTTGTTGTATAACACCAATCATTATCTGTTTTGTTATAATCATCCCCATCATTTTTTTCACCATCTAAATCAGGAGGAACTATTGGTGTAAGAGGCGTAAAATAAGATCGAGTGAAATTAGATTGAGCTATCTGTCTATTTGGACAACTTCCTTTGCTATGATCAGTTTTCCTACAAATTTCACATTTTTGTATGTATGCTTTTTTCTGAAATAGATCAGTTAACTGATTTACATTATTTCAAGTTTCCTTAAGTCCTTCTTCAATCCTATCAAATCTAGCAGAATTATTATTTCGCTGTGGACAAGGTCTTTGAAAAGGCTTTACAGGATAATCAGAGTCTAAATCTTTCTTATTAAGTAGACCTACTTCTTTTAAGTATTCAGCTACATAATAATTTTTAAGACTTTCCTCTGTTTTCAATGTAGATGGTGGACCTTTCGGCTATCTAATTGATTCAACAGTTTGTGAGATAGTTACTTGCTGAGCCATTTGCAATTGAAAATCAGATTTTTGCTTTTCTAATAAAGACTGGTATTCAGTTTTTTGTTGTGTCAGTGCGTTTTGAATTGCCTTTTGCATATCTTCTAAAGATATTCCTTGCTATTGTGAGGCTGAAATAGGCAAGGGTTCATATATTTCTCGAAATGCTCGTTAAAATATCAGTGGATCAGTTATTCTATCTCTTTTATGCCTAGCAATTCGTCGTAATTCTATCTCATAAAACTTTTTAGCTAATTCAGCCAATGGTAAATGTTTACCAATATCCTCAGCTTTTTCAAGCCATAGGAGTGGTAGTGCATCTAAGAATTTTCTATGTAATTCTTCAGGCCTATAGTTAGCTCTCTACCTATTTGTACTATTTTTCTATATAATTTATCTATAGTCATGTCTCCCTTTGTGATTGTTCCATACATCAAATCCTAAAGCTCCTCTTCTATTGTAGGGAAATAAGTTTTTGGCCACTATATGGCTTGACCAAAACGAATACCAGCTACAATTACAGTATTACCTGCATTAGCATTTGATGCATTAACAGGGGCATTAGTAGGATGACCACCTGCTATACGCCAATCTTCATTCTAAGGATCTTCTACAACTCTTAACTTGACTATTGCAGTTCTTGGTTGGCCAATGGCCTCATTCAATGCATTAGCTTCTATTTGTACTGCAGTTCGTCTATTTACAGCTACTAAGTTAGCCTGCCTTGTATTATCAAGTAAATTACTTAACTCCCAATTTCGTTTTGTAGTAATTTCATTATCAAACCATTCTAAGGTTCTTCCTCTCATACATCCTCTTAAATATCCTATTTCTACTTTTCTTCCTGCTGGTGGACCTCCTGCATTATCTGCCAGATCTACACCTTAGTTTTGGAAGTATAATCATAGTTTTGCAAGAAAATCTGGGATGCTATCATCCCAATCAAAAAATGGTTGTGGGATTCCTGCCATATTTATTTGATTTGGTGGATTATTCTGTAACGCTAAAATTTGTCCATGTAAATTAAAAATATTCTGGTGAGAGATTATTTCCCGAGCCTTCCATTTTTGATACCGATTAAATACTCAGGCTCAGTTGAATTCTGCCAAGTCAGCCTCAGCTTTATGCCTATAATTTATTAGCCAAAAAGCTATCTTTTCTCGTAATAATTCACCAATACAGGTTTGCTTTCTATTCGCCAGATTCTGAGCATTAGTCCGCAACTTTTGAAGGTCACCAATAACTCTTTGTTCCACTCCTTCAGTAAGATTTCTTCATATTATTTCATTATTCCTTTCAGCCTCAGCATTATATCGTCTCCGTTGCTCACGAGCTAAGTTCAAATGCAAATTATTCTCTTTTCGATGAATCTGTCTTGTTGTTCTTTTTATTTAACCAGCCAATATTTCTTTATCTATTGTTGGATTATCTAGATAACCATCTATAGCATTTGCTAGCTCTGTAATTATAGCCATATTATCATCGGAATTATATTGATTAGAAAAGATCTCTCGTACTGGTGAATTTTTTTGTGATGAAATAACCTTGATCTGGCATCTTAATTTCTCTACCTGTTTCTCAGATTTTACCAATCGCTCTTCTAAGGTAGAGATATATTGTTCCTTATCTCACACATCTTTCTTAGCTTGATATAGCTGACTTTTTAGACTGAAGATTTCAGATCTTAGCTCTGCTATCTCTTCTTCTGAAGTATGCTTAAGACGCTCTATGTTTTTATTGAGATCTTGGATTTCCTACTTATACTGGCTATATTCACGCTCCAGTTGGTTGAACCGTTTCTCATTCAGGTGATTATTTTCTACCTCTGTCTGTAATGCATCTCGAAGATGATAGTTATCCTTCTCCAACTTAGCTTTATACTCTTCACATGTTTTTCTCTGCCTTGGATGAGGTCTGTGAAATGTCATTCTTTTTTTTTATTATTATAAAAGAGATTCTGAATGGGAGAACTCTTGATTTATATCGATCCTTAAAAAACGCATGATCTTGACCGAAATCTTGCCTTACAGAAGCTATATTATCAATCTGAAAGCCTTTACCAAAATATTAAGAGATTATGGGATGCTTGTAAAAAAGCCGACTATAGCTTTCCATTTACTGATGTAAAAAAATGGCTTGATAGGCAGGCAATGTATCAAATTTTTCATCCTTCACCAAAGCATATACCTTATGTTAGCTATTCTAGAATCACAAAACTGAATACTGTACAGTCGCGTCATAAAGTAATGCCCAATTTTTAATGTATAACGTTATACAGTATTTATTGCCATCCTTATCCGTATTTTGATCCAAACTTTCTCATCTATTTGTTTTTTTGAGAC